CTGACCCGGACGCGCCCGCCGGGCGTCCAGCCGAGGGCGGCGCGGGCCGCGCTCAGGGCCCGGATGCGGAGCGGCGGGCGCGGCTGAGCGGCCGCTCTTCCTCGTCGCGCCGCGCCCGTGCTCTCCCCGCCTTCCCCTCCCTTCCTCCTGTCCGCGGAGGCCCCGCGTCCCGCCAGGCGCCGCCGGCGGGCGGCCCTGCGGCGCGGGTGGCCCCGAGCGCGGCCGCCGCCCGCCCTCACCATGGCCTCGAGCCTGGCGACCGCCGTCTCCATGTTGAATAGTTGACATTCCTCAGGCGGCGGCGGGGAGATCCCCACCCCCCGCGCGGCGCACGGGAGAGCCGCCGCCGCCCATTGGCCAGCTGTCACTCGCCGCGCGCCCCCCATTGGCCCGCGGCGCGCCGAGCGCGCTCGCCATTGGCCCGGCGGGAATGTAAACCCGCTCCGAGGTACGGCGGCGCTGATTGGCCCGGAGTGGGCTCCGGGCGGTGATTGGCCGGGGCGGGGCGCGCGCCGCTGGCGGGGCGGGCCCTGGTCACCTCCCTCCCCCCCCCCCCCAGCTTCAACCCCGGTCCCTCCGGTGCCCCCGGCGGAGCTGTTGTTACGTCTCGTTCGCCCCACCGGCCTTGCCCGGCCGAGCGCTGCCCGCAGCTGACTGTCGGTGCCGGACCCGCTCGCCCAATGGCGGCGCCCGGGACGGGGCGGGGGCAGCGCCGGCCCCGCTCCGGTGAAGGGGGGGGGGGGGGGGCCCGCCGCGGGGGCCAACCCCCCCGCGGCTTACACGCGCCGCGTGGGGGCCGCGGTTGAGAGCGGCGCTGCCATTGGCTGAGCGCGCCGCCGGGATCGGTTTGAATCGGCGGCGGTAGCGGCCGGGGGGAGGGGGGGACGGGTCGGCCTCGGGACACCTCCCGATTCCAGGAACACCTCCCAGATCCTGGGGGGCACAAGGGATACCCCCGGCCTGCTGAGACACCCCCCGGCACCGGGGGACACCCACACAGGTCTGTGTGTGAGGAGCCCCCGCGCCCCGGTGCGGGGTCACCGGTGAGGGACCGACCGGGCCCGTCCCGGGGCCTTGTCTTCGTGTCTTCTGCCTCCGTTCTCCACAAGCGTCGTTTTGCCGAAATTCAGGGTTTGTCGCTTCAAGATAAAGAAAAACTGGGTATAATTAATATATCGATAATTTTAATGTTTATATTTGTTATAACTATATTTATAATTTATTATACCCATATGTTACTATTTAATATAGCTATATATTTCTATTTACCATGTCTATATATTAATATATTTATTCTAATTATGTACAATAATTATATTTCTTTATAATATTTATTTCTTACATAAATAGGAGGAAAGAAGCCCATTATAAAATGGTGCTTTTTTTTGTTCTCTACTCGGGTACAAAGACATCCCTGTGGCACATAAGAACTTAAGGATATATTTTTTTATCAGCATTATGTGATGCTTGCAGCAAGGCAGCTGTGAATAACCTCTGCCTGGATGTCCAGGGGTGCTGCCCACGTTATTCTCTTGGGTGGCAGCTCTGCCCCAGTGTGTAATTTGGTCTCTGGACATTCATTTTAAATGTGTCTGTTTTAACAGCAATGGCAAAGCGTAAGAGATGCAGGCAAAAAAGGAGAGCCCTGAAACAAAAGAGAGATGCTGCAAAGCCCCAGGGCTCAGTTTGTCCTTCCCCAAGGTAAGAGGCTCAGCTTGAGCTCTGCCTTTTCACCCAACTCCTGGGTTTTGTTGTTTGCTCCCAAATCCTCATGGAACTGAGGGAATAGAATTGCGTTTGGAGCCTGTCTCCATCCTGGCAGGGGTGCTGTGGAATAACTTCATCTCGTGGATCATCTTGAGCACTTACAAGGGGAAACAACCTCAGGTTGTGGCAGGGGAGTTTCAGGTTGGATATTAGGAGAAGCTTCTTCGCTGGTTCAGCACCGGAACAGGTTTCCCATGGAAGTGGTGGAGTCACCATCCCTGGAAGTGTTCAGCTGACAAGCAGACATGGCACTTTGTGGTGTGCTTTGGTGTTACTCAGTTGAAGGTTGGACATGATGATCTTGGAGGTCTTTTCCAACCTCAGTGATTCCATGACTAACTTTAATAACCAGGAAAGGCAATTTGAATAAAAACTGATTTCAAATATTATTGCCCACCCTCTCCCTTTATTGAAATGTATCTTGGCCTCTCCTGGTTTCTCTGGTCACATTTATTCTCTTGTTACCTGCCATTTCTACTTATAATTTCCAGATGACTGGTCACAGTTAACTTTATTAGAGGCTGAAATGACAAATATAATTCTGGCCTTACTCTGAAATGTTCTGTTGCAGGTCACCAGCTGATCTCCCTCTGAACACAACACCTGTCCCAAGGTGCTCCCTCTGGCCATCAGCCTTGCCCAGCATAAAAGATGTGGTAAAACCCTTGGAATCAGCAGCAAAAAATGTGATAAAACCCTTGGAATCAGCAGCAAAAAATGTGGTAAAACCCTTGGAATCAGCAGCATCGTTTCTGTATTGGTGGGGCCAGAACACAGTTGCACAGGTACAGTTTGTGTTTCTCCATTTTGAGCCATGTGTGAGGTGGTTCTTTGTGCTCAGACACAGGATACACGGGGAGATCTGAGAGCTGAGCTGTACATTTAGTTATCTAAAGTGTATTTATTGAAACATTGAAACAGTGTATTGAAACATATAAAGTATGTTAAGTGTTTACTGTTGAAGGAATGAATAATGAGATGTGCCAAGACATTAAATCATAGAATCCTAGAATATCCTGTGTTGGAAGGGACCCACAAGGATCATCCAAGTCCAACTCCTTGGGCAGTCCCAAGAATCCCACCATATGCCCATTGCATATGTGTAATTTTAGGTTTTTTATTGGAATATCAGCAGGATTTAAAGTGACAAAGGCTGTGGTTTTTCTTTCATAGCATAGAAATGATTTTTTGAGCTTTTCAGGTCAAATGTGGATTTTACTTTAGAATTCCTAGATGAAGTTAAAGTTCTTTTAGAAAGTCACTCCTTGGGTTCCTGTCAGAGAACTATTTGATGAAATTTTGTATCTTCCTGTTGTGCTTTTCCATGGGCTGCAATAAGACCTTGCCATAGAACTTTCCATAGTAATCACAGCCCTGTCTCTGGAAACAGAACCTGCTGGTGAAAACACTGATGTGCTTTCTTTTTATGCTCAGAGTTTTAGAGTGGTCAAAGACACCATATTTCCGTCACAAATCTACTTAAGGGAACTAAATGCTTTGAGAGAGCAGCTGGAAAAGTTGGAAAGTGAATTTTCCAAGCTCCAAGAAACACTCCAGGTCAGTGCCAGTCCCGGTGGGGCAGGGTAATGTTTGTCTGTGTGGGTACGTAAGGAACTGTGGTCAGTGCAGAAGCTCTGAAATCTGAAGGGTTCTCACAGGGCATTCCTGAATTCAGTGTTGCTGAACTGCAGTTTCCTCACAGTCAGAGGGAACTGGTTTGCTGATGAGCCTCCTAAAGAGCTCTTGTGCCTGTACAGATCAACTTCAGCCAGAACCTTTGTTCTCTAAAATTCCATCTCCTTTTGCCAGTGGATTTAATGTCCTCTTGTTTATTTATGTCGTTTGCAGATGAACGGAACTGCAGCTTTGTCTCCAGAAAATCCTCTTTGCCAAAGGTGTCACAAACCAGTCCTGGGTGGTCCTGTACAGACACAGATGGACCTGCTGGCATCACTGCCTGCTCCTCCTCCTCCTCCTCCTCCTCCTCCACCTCCTCCTCCTCCCCCTCCTCCTCCACCACCACCACTGCCCCCACCAAAACTGCCTCCAGCACCTCTCCTCCTCAAACGGGGCACTGGCTCCAAGGCACCTCTGGTAAGGACTCAGAAGGCTCCTCTATTTTTTCCCTGGTGCCTGGGTTCTTTGGGCCTGGATCCATCAGGAATGTGTGTGTTTGTGAGCAGTCAGTCACCTGGCAATCCTGATTCCCCTTCCAAACCCCTTTGTTTTCAGGCACCACCAGTGAAGAAGGACGGGCCGATGCAGATCACGCTCAAAGACCTCCTGAATGTCAAGCTGAAGAAGACAAACAGCAACCTGAGAATGGACAAGGTAGACTGGAGGGGACAGGGATAACCAGGTGACAGTGCATCGAGGCAAACTCCACCCTGGAAATGGTGCCTTTCCTGCTTGTCTTACCTCTTCATAGAAATTTTTCAGTAAATTAGTTCTTCTCTTCCAAAGTTTCACGTAACCATTCTAATTCTGCACCTGGGCACTTGAAGGGAAGGAATGAAGAGACCCACCTCTGGCAGGCAGGACAATTCTGATTTTACATGAAGGCCATGGAGCTTTCCTGTAGATTTATGTCTGTTATCAGTAGGTTTTGGGTTTTCTTTGCCCAGCTGAAATATTGTTTGCGAAATCTATTTGTAATCCAAGACACGTTCAAATCTTAATAATTCAAAAAAAGCATAAAAGTCATAAACCACAAAAATCTTTCAGAGTATAAGTATTAAACAGATTTGAAGTTAGTGAAACGTTCTAAAGTTTTATTTGTGGTGACATTTCTTTCCTTGCTTTAGGCAGAATCACCAGGGAAGCCACGCAGGGCATTAATTACAGTCTCAGATCTACAGAGTATTAGTTTGAGACCTAAATCCAAGCCATCAGCTCACATCACAAATTCCTTAATGTAAGATCCTTTCTTCCTTTCTTTGATATTAGATTTTTCTGTTTTAAACAGTGATTAACATGGTTTACAGAGTGGAAAATATTTTATTTGTTTTGTTCTATCAGTACTCCCCCTAAAAATCAGATTGATCTTCGGAAACATCTGAAGAAAGTCAATATACAAAGGTAAGTTCCTTCCTGTTTTCTGGATTCTTTTTTTTTTTAATCTAGAAAAAAAATAAAGAACTAATAATAATAATTCCCCTTGTGTCCAATCTTTCCAGAAGTCCTGGTGGCACTCCTCTAAATAATAAAGAAAACACTGAATGTGGCTCTGGGTTGACACCAATAATGACACAGGCACTGCGACGCAAATTCCAGGCAAGTCACTCTCTCTCTTTTGGAACAATAAATTGGCTTTAAAATCCATAGAATTTCCTACTGATTTTTCCCTACAGTGCAGTCCATACGACTTTGAAATTCATAGTTCCACTTTGCAGAAGAACAAAATCTGAGGGTTAATAATGTCTTTTATTTTAATGACTTGCTCTGGTTGTTTTATGGTGTCAGCACTGTTTTAGCTCAGTCACAATTAGTTCAGATATCCAAGTTCTGACCCTTCCCTTGTTTTGACAGATGGCTCATCCGAAGAGTCCCTCCCCTGCCCGGTTAAGTGCTGCAAACAGCTTTGATGAAAAGTAAAAAGGAAAGTAGGTTTATGGAACAATGTATT